CATAAATTTCAAAAGAGCAACAAAGAATCTGATCAATAAAGAGCGCAAATGCAGGAAATTTGAAATAAGAACAGATTGAAATAGACAGTAAGAAAATCTGTGTCTGAAAATTGAACAAATACAAGTTAATGTTTCAACTGGGAGCAATGCAGGATTGGTAAAATTCAGTGTGACTGCCTAGTTTTAGGGGAAATGTCTTCTTTACCAACTTATAAATTATGAATCCTTAGGACATTTAGTTCTATATTATCATAGAATGATAGAATCCCCACAGTGCGGAAACATGCCATTCAGCCCAACAAGCCCACACTGACCCTCTGAAGAGCATCCCACCCAGACCCATCCCCCTACCCTTTCCCTGTAATCCTACATTTCCCAAAGCTAATGTTGCTAAGGTTTCCATAAATTTAAGTAGAATGTAGAACAACTTACTGAGCATTTTAGGGCCTATGTCAATGTTGGTACTTAAAGAATGAAGAGGACAAAGAACAGTATAGCACAGGAACTGGCCCTTTGGACCACCAAGCCTGTGCTGACACATTACATCTTTTTAAACTAAAATCCTTTTGCCTCTACGCAGTCCATATCCCTCTATCTCCTGCCTGTTCATGTATTTGTCAAGATGCCTCTGAAATGTTGTTATTGTATCTTCTTCTGTCACTTCTTCTGGCAGCACATTCCAAGCACTTTACCACCCTGTGTGAAAAAACCCTTGCATCTCCTTTAAACTTTCCCCCTTAAACCAGAAACCTATGTCCCAGAGTTATTGACATTTCTACCCTGGGAAAGAGACTCCAACTATCCATTTTATCCATGCCTCTCATAATTTTGTAAATCTCTACGAGGTTGCTCTTAGCCTCTGACGTTCAAGTGAAAACGGGCCACGTTTTTTCCAATCTGTCCTCATCGCTTGTACCCTTCAAACCAGGCAACATCTTGGTAAATCTTTTCTGTACCCTCTCCAAAGCCTCCATATTCTGGTTGTGTGGCGACAAGACTGTATGCAATATTCCGAGTGTAGCCTAACTAAAGTTCTATACAGCTGCAACATGACTTGCCAATTTTTATACTCTGTGCCCTGACTGATGAAGGCAAGTATGCCATATGCCTTCTTGATAACCTTATCCATCTATGTTGCCACTTTCAGGGAACTGTACACCTAAATTCCTCTGTATGTTAATGATTCTAAGGTTTCTGCCATTTATTGTATACTTCTCTTCTGCATAAGATCTTCCAAAATGCATCACCTCACATTTGTTTGGGTTAAATTCCATCTGCTATTTCTCCGCCCAGGCCTCCAGCTTATCCATACCCCACTGTATCCTCTGGCCATCCTCCTCACTATTGGTAGCTTCCCCAACCTTTGTGACATCTGCGAACTTACTAATCATACCACCTACTTTCTCTTCCAAATCATTTATATATATTACAAACAATAGAGAGCCCAGCACTGACCCCTACAGAACATCTCTGGTCTTAGATCTCCAGTCAGAAAAACACACTTCCACTGCTACTCTCTGTCTTCTAAGACCAAGCCAGTTCTGTATTCCTCTTACCAGCTCACTGCAAATCCCATGTGACTTCACCTTCTGTGTCAGCATGCCACGACAGACATTGTCATATGCCTTGCTAAAGTCCCTGTAGACAACATCCACCGGTCTGCCTTCATCAATCGCTTTTGTCACTTCCTCAGAAAACTCAAGCAGGTTTGAGACATGACATCATGGAACAAAATCATGCTGCCTGTCACTATTAAGTAAATATTTTTCTAAATGTGAATAAATCCTGTCCTCAAGAATCTTCTCCAGTAATGTCCTCACCACTGATGTAAGGTTCACCTGCCTGTAAATTTCCTGGATTATCCCTGTTGCCCTTCTAAAACAAAGGAACAACATTAACTTTTCTCCAGTCCTCTGGGGCCTTGCCTGTGACTAAAGAGGAATCAAAGATATCATATAAGGTCCCAGAAATTTCCTCTCTCACCTCCCTCAGTATTCTGGATAGATCCCATCAAGTCCTGGGGACTTGTTTACCTTAATGATTTTCAAAACACCCAACACCTCCTCCTCCTCTTTTATATTGACATACCCTAGAATATCAACATACCCGTGTCTAAACTTATGGTCCACCATGGCCTTCTCCTTTGTGAATATCAATGCAAGGTATTCATTAAAGGGCACACTCACATCCTCTAACTCCATGCATAAATTCCTTCCTGTATCCTTGTGCACTTGCCCTTTCCCTAGATATATTCTTGCTGAATTTTCCGTAACCCTGTTTGCCAATGTCATTTCATGGTCCCTTTTAGCCCTCTGATCTCCTTGTTTTAGTTCTTTACTGTTTTCTTTAAATTCTTGAGGGTTCTGTCTGACTTCAGTTCCCTAAACCTTAGTTATGCTTCCTTTTTCTTTCTGACTAAGCTCGTAATTTCTCTTGTCACCCAAGATTCCCAAATTATACCAATCTTATCCTTAATTTTCACAGGAACATGCTGGTCCTGAACTTGAATCAACTGGCCTTTAAAAGATTCCTACTTAATAGATGTAGATTTACCATCGAATAGGCACCCCCAATCGACATTCCCCAATTCCTGCTTAATATCATCACAGTTAGCATTCCCCCAGTTTAGTACTTTTACCCAAGGACTATTCTTATCCTTATCCATAATTAACTTAAAACTTACGGAGTTATGATTCCCAAAATGCACCCCAGCTAGAACTTTGATCACCTGCCGGGTTCATTCTTCAATATCAGGTCTAATATGGCCCCTTCCCTTGTTGGACTGTTTACATATTGCTTCAAGAAACCCTCCTGGACAAGTCTAACTAATGCCTCTCCAAGCCCCTGGCACTAAGGGAGTCCCAGTCAATATATATACAAAGTTAAAATCTCCCACGGCAACAACCCTGTTGTTTTCACATTTCTCCGTAATCTGTCCACATTTCTGTTTCTTCATCAGCCACTGGTTATAGACAGCATGTAGTACAACCCTGTCAAAGTGATTGCACCCTTCCTATTCCTGAGCTCTACCCATATGGCCTCGTTGAATGAGCCCTCCAAGGCCTCCTCTCTCAAAATAGTTGTGATATTCTCTCAACTCAATACTGCAAATCCTCTTTCACACCCTTCTCAATCTCACCTGAAACATCCAAATCCTGGAACATTAAGCTACCAGTCTTTTCCCTCTCACAATCAAGTCTCTGAAATAACTACAATATCATAGAGCCTTGATTTGTACATATAATAAGTTCATTTGCCTTACCCGTAATACATTTTGTGTTAAAGTTAACGCACTTCAGACTGCCAGTCTCCACAATATTCTCTCCCTGCCTGTTCTTTCTCATAGCTTTAGTTTCAAACTTCTTGGTTATTTCACTTAATGAACTATTGCCTTGATTTCCGCCCTGCTGCCTTACTAGTTTAAGCCCTCTTGAGTGACAATACTGCCAAGTCTCCCTGGCAGTATACTGGTTCCCCTCCAGTTTAGGTGCAACCTGTCCTTCTTGTACTGGTTCGACTTGCCCTGGAAGACATCCCAATGACCAACATATCAGAAGCCCTCCCTCCTACACCAGCCCATTCGCCATATTTTTAACTGTACTATCATCCTATTCTTAGTCTCACTGGCACATGGCACAGGGAATAATTCTGAGATTACAACCCTAGAGATCCTGCTTTTCAACTTACTTCCTAACTTCCTGAACTCCCTTTTCAGAACCTTGTCACTCTTCCTGCCATTGTCATTAGTACCAATATGTGCCATGACAACCGGCTGCTCACTCTCCCTTTTGAGAATGTCCTGTATGCCCTCAGAGAATCCATGATCCTGGAACCGGGTGCTGGGGTAGGGGGGGAACAACACACTATTGTGGGGAGTCCCTTTCACTACCACAGAAATGCCTATCTGTGCCCCTTAATTTGTGAGCACCTTAATGGGAACACCAATGGCTTGCAAACCCAGCCAAATAGAGCTCCTCGGAAGTGTTTTTTGTATCCCATTTTCAAAGTTTAGTCGACTACCACAATGTGAAGGATTCATAGGTTATACCCATGTTGTCATACTTGCTTCCTTCATTAGCTATGCCACCAGCTATGTAACAGGAAAAGATTTTGCTCTTTCAATATTCAACTTGTTTGGAATTAGCAGAACTGTGACAGGCAAATGATCCCTTACATTCATGGCAGCTTGCCCTCATGTTTTGTTTTCATCACTTCCAGTGCACTGTTCTGTCTCCGAGAACTCAACAACCTTCACCATTTTGTGGGTAAAGTGGTGGAGAACGATGTCCCTTCAACTTTTCTCATCCTGATGGCCTGCCATCATTTTCAAAAAGAATAAAGCAGTAATTGTATTTTGGGTGCTGTACGAATCAAATGACTACATGCTACACTGGTTAAAATGTTCATTTTTAAGGAATGCTTTAGTGACTGAAAGAGAGGTAGAGAGAATTAGAAAGGGAATTGTCCAGCTTAGGGTTTTGACAGTTGAAGGTAGAGCACTATTTAAAATCAGGTAGACTCAAGAAAACTGAATTGGTTTAGTGTTGAGATCGAGATCTTAAGGGTACATGGATGGAAAAGATCATAGCAATTGAGCGAATGGATTCACTTGGAACAATTTGGAAACAGGAATGAAGTTAAGGTTGATCAGGACATTGATCAACTAAAATAATACAAAGGTATATAAATGTAATTATGTACATTTATAACTAACATATCATATAGAATATTTTACATTCATTTGCTTGGCAGAAGTTTTTAATGGATTGTAGAATTTAAAAATTGTCATTACATAACTTCTCACACTCAAAGAATAACTAATGAATTAAATGGTAATGTATATTTTTGCAAGCTTAATAAAATTTTGTCTGTCCTACATGTGTAACACATGAAATATTATCAGCTCAATGAACTGTATAATGAAACAATAAAGTAGTAAAGATTCTCTAATCTGCTGTTTTAATGCAGGTTAATGTGTAATCCCAGGGCAGGGAGGAGCCTTAAACACACAGAATTGTGGGATAACTACTATGGGTTCCTGAATGCAAGTTTATCAGGAAATGTTTTGTGCTCAGATTTTGAGATTAAATCCATCCATCCATCTTTAGCTTTAAGGCAGAATGGTAAGTTTTTTTAAAAAATGCATATTTTACTCCTTAGGAGTGTCTTAAATCTAAGTGCAGAGTTATGTTGGCAAGCGTAGATATCAGTTACTTCACCTGTCTCTGCAGGTGAAAATACAAGTACTCACCTGGCCTACATTGAAAAGAATAGTTTACTAATATTTAGTTTAAGACACTTACTGTGCTTTAAATAAACAGATTAGGCAATATACTATGTAAAATATTAAAGGCTATAGTTTACAAGTTTTTAAAGTCAATTATACAGGCAGTATTACAACTCTATTAGCTACCTTTGTATTTAACTAATCAGGTTTGAAGGCATTGCTGAGATTCGGGTGGAGATTTAGTTTATTTGAATCAAAACGATTTTGAAAAATGTAATGTTTTAGCTGATTTTGTGCTTTATACTTATGGTAAATAACCCATAATGCAGGTGCTGTCTCATTTTAAAAAAAGGACCAAACGCTGGAAATCTGAAACAAAAACAGAAAAGCATTTGATGTTTAAAAGTTAGAATCCCAAATGTAAACCTAGAATCTAAACAAAAGGGAGAAAAACCTTTTTAGAAATGAGAAACCAGTCTAAAAAAGTGATTTTTGTATGGCAAGCAGGACATTTAAAACTCCATGAAAATGTAGGAAATGCATAAAACACCTTGACGTGAATCAATTAAACACTGTCATGCAAATTGCATACCTTCATTCAATTTTTATAATGTAGAATTATTGAACACCATCAGTTTAAAATTACCTTGCAGAATTTTGAATACACATTTGAGGAACAATCCTGATACTGAGGTGGATTTTAGTTGTCTGGCAGACTTTGTTTGAATTCCCACCATAACTGTTTTTAAGTGTTTGACACCTTCTCTGACTGCACACCAGTCAGCCATGCTACGGTTCTCTTTAGAATGATAAATCTACTGGTCTGTGTCCTATTCCAAGAACCACTAAATCCTTTTGTTGTTTGTGGGAACTTTGCTGTGAACAAATTGGCTGCCATGTTTCCTATATCACAACAGTTACAAGATGTTCTGATGTCATGAATGATGCCCTATAAGTGCAAATATTTTTCTTCCATTATTACTTAGTTGTAATTAACTGTAATACCAAGCAGTGATTGTTTGAATAAGAAAAAAGTTGTTGACATACGACTCAATGTACAATAATGAAGAAAAGCTCATCAATATAAATTAAATAGTTTTATTACATCCATGGGTTGAAATATTGCAGAATACTGAATCTTAAATACACTAGAACCAAACGCTTAATTTAATTTTCATTCAGCAATCTCATCTATTTGAGGTGTTTAGGCCAGAATGGGGACGGAGAAATAAAGTGAAATGACAATGAAACTATAATGTGGAGCTATTTGTTTTACCTATTATTATTAAAATTTATAATTATTTAAAAATGTGATTTTACATATGCCATATTTTAATGTTAAATAAATTGCCGTTTAGTTTCCAAGTGGTCAATTCATGACACCCACAATGTTCCTATCTGTTTAATTTACATGCATTATTTGTTGGAGGAAACAAAATGCAAAACAGATTGTCACTGACAAAGTGATGTCACATCATATGACACAATGAAAAATTGTAGCAATCAGTTAAACTACTAATCAGTTGACAGGTCTCCAAACAAGCCTGATTTAGGTCACAAACAATGTGCTGCTGTAAATACCCATGGAGTTGTGGAAATTATCTTGTTCTTTTTTGTAAATCTGAATCATGAATGGAAATCAAAACCCTATTCAGAGATTATGAATATTGCTTTTGCATATACTCGTGGACTTTACATCTGAAATATTCTGTAAAGGCTTCCTATTCAATTCAAATATTTCTCTTCTTATTCTGAATCTGTTTTACAGAGCATTTTCCAACAGTACTGTTGTTCATTCATGTTACATGTTGAAAGTGTGATTTAGATTTTTTTGGGTATTGTGGTGCAAATTACTCCTATGAATATTCTGAATGTATTACATTTAAAAGAATGCCTGTACTACCCAATATCTAATTGGAAACTAAAATAATCCAAGTTTTGAGCCTTTTAATTCAAACTAGATAGCATGTATTTCACAAGTGCTACCATGTGTTTTTTCCAGTCCCTTTGAAGATTGATTGAAATGCTTGTGAAAGACCAGGTATGAATTGTAACAGTAAAAGAAAATTCCACTTGTTATATTCCAACAGTGATAACTCCATTGGTGGTAAAGCACTTCAGGGTATCGTGTGGTCATCTATTTAACCAACTGCTTAAGTGGAGGTCAGAGGAGGGCAGTGGGAGTGGAGGTGAAATAACCATGTCCATTTCCTTTCATCAGCTAGCTGACTTATTTTTGACATTTGCCTTTCTTCAGTATTATTTCTTTAAACTGACAATCTGTGCTTTTAACACGCAGGTTTTGGCTGAGTTTGCTTCTTTTTGAAAAGTTACCCCCTTTGTGTACCTTTATTCTGTCCCTCCACCTCTTCAAGCCAGAATTACAATGTGTGTGATACCTTCCCAGACAAGGATTCACCGACTGCTCTGTCAGTGTAACTTTTGCAGACCTTTAGTGCTGTAATCACGTGACAATTTTTCTCAGTTTTCTAAATGGATATCTGTTCAGTCACTCAAGACAAACTAATGAATGGTTTAATGTCCTTGGTTATTCTGGCTTTAATGTATGCTAATCAATACCTATTCTTAGAACATGTATAAATGCACTTTATTTTAAACTGAAACTTGTGGGTAAAAATCATGCAAGGATGTTCACCACTAACCTCCAACTGTCACTCCAGGAGATCTATCAAGACTTTACCTCTATTAGTTTCCCTGTTCTTTATTGGATGGTGTAGGATGCGGCAATATCATCATGCTTTTCAGCAACCAATCTCATTATAGGATTTTCACAGAAAATACAAAAAGGAAACCAGGAGTAACTAAATTGATTTTATTTTAAATGGAGCAAGTTAAAGATTGGGATGTACACATGGTCTGAAAGCAGAAGGTGAAACATTTAATTTTTAATTTAACAGCACTCCAATTGTAAAATTATTTTTTAAGAGTAAGTTCTGTTGTTCGCTGAATTTCATTCATTATGTTGCCACTAATGTAGGAGTGGGAAAGTTGAAATTTTCACTGAGTTCGTGGTTGCTAGGTTTTGGGGAGTGACTTGTCAGCATAATTGTGTAACCTGTGTTAGAGTCCCGAGTGACTATAACTTCAGGGCATTCATGGTAATCTGTGCATGCCTGGCACCCTGAGATTTTAATCCGTTTCATGAGTATTGATGGTGAAAGCTGACGGTTTGCAGTCAAGGCTCAACTCCAAGAAAATCTGAGCTGAAATGTACAGAAGTTCTCAATAATTGCTGTGGTGACGTTCCTGAAAATTGAGACTTTAAATGAAACAATGGATGGAATTTTCACTCCCTGATGTGATGTGGGAATGGTGAAAGATGTGAAAAAATACGGTGAGAATGAAAAAATCAATATCATGACGTTGAGAACTTTTCCCCCTTTTTTTTCCCTCCTTTTAAACTTTGAGTGGTGACTTCTATATGTCAATGTACTGAAATGTTATCAATAGCACAACTCGCTTTATTGATGAACAACTTCCAGTTCCCTCCTCCCTCCCCCAAGAAACGTAGTGGAATAAATGCCTAATGTGCAAGTCAGGGTGGGTAGTTACCTGGAGGCTGTAGCTCACCGATTTCTTGTCCCAGACATCATACAACCACATCTTCTTCACAATTTCCCTGCATGCTCTATGGGTGTCTTCCTCCTTGACTTTTTATCTATTTCAGTTGGCATCAGCAAACCATTAGCCACAGCATATGATCATATCAGCTCTCGGATCAACTCTTGCACAGCTTCAATTCTTCGACACTTTAGAGCTCAGTTACAGCTATGACATGCAGGCTTCCACCAAGTAATTTTATGGGCGAGGCACAGAGCCATCCCATGCATCTACACAGGATCATCTTATTGCTCTTCGCTTGGTTTTCTTAAGGTTCATTTGCTTGGAAGCTCCTGGTCTTTATGTCTTGCATCAATATTTAGTGTACAGGGGCTTTGGGTACAACTGGAGGCTGCCAGTACCATCCCCTCTAAGCTATGCAGCTGTACAACCACTTAGAGGTTCTGCGCACGCCAATTGGCAACCAATGAATTGACTTCAAGTTTTAGAAGTCACTGCCATGCACGGACCTTGTTAGCCGGTCATTGGAAAACCAAATTAGGGGAACATAGGTTGCCAGCTCACAATGCTTTGTTAGCACAGAGGGACAGGCAGCAGCATATCATAGTGGAGGGCACTGAGCAGTAAAGGGAGTGGATATATCGATGGACAACACCGTGCTATGTCAGTGTCACACCAGCATTATGTGCCAGCAGCTTATGTGGCAAACACACTGCGTGTCAAAGTCAAAGTCAAGGGGCATATCTGATTCTAGCCCAGGGGGCTGGCCATGGTCATTCATGTGCTTGATCCATGTCTTTTCATTCTGGAGGTTTAACCTGCAGGACTGACCATGGTCTAGTGTAACCAATCCAGGGATTGCCAGTATGTCAGTCAGGATGATGTGGGAGAATAGACTTTCCTTGCAATCTTTCCTGCAATGAGACAAATGGAGGGGGATTAAGTGGATGAAACAGCAGTTTGTGGTGATGCAGCAGCAAGAGGTGGTGAGGTGTCCCCACTGAGTAATAAGGGGGAGCAGAGGTCAGGAAGGGTTTGTAGCCTGTTAGACCAGTGGGTGAGAGGAATTGAGAGGTATGATGTAAAAATGAGAGATGTAGTCCATGAGGCTTGGTGAGAGGCATGTGCATTGGCAGACTTAGTGAGTGGTGACACTGTTGGTGTGACTAATACAGAGAGATGCATGCACTTAATCATGTAGGGTACGAAAGATCACCGACAGCTTTCCTGCAGTTCCCCACGACACTGCAATGACTCGGGCTCAGCGTCCAGGCTGGTTCTGTCTGATGACGTGGCCTTCTGGGGAGGTCAGTAAAGGAAGGACTGCTGAGAGTGTCACCAGGTTCTGGCAACAGCAGGCATATCCACCTCACTTGCCAATTCTGCATGAAGACCACCATAACATGGTCATAACAAGACCATAAAATATAGAAAGAAAGGTAGGCCGTTCAGCTCATAGTCTGCTCAGCCATTCAATGAGATTGTGATTTGAGCTGATCATTCTTAACCCCACTTAATAACCCAGCCTTGACAGCCCTCTGTGGTAAAGAATTCCATATTCAGTACCCCTTGAAAGAAGAAATTCCTCTTTACTCTGTCTTAAATGCCCAACTCTTTCATTCAGTGTGGGCATAATTTCAGAATAATGAGGCGAAGAGCAGAAGATGACGTGAGAAGTGTTGCTGGGAGCCAGGGTTGACTGGGTGCCGTAAAACCCGGTCAACAAAACACTTGAGCTGAAAATGGGAAAATTCCACACTTAATTTCTATAGAGATCTATGTTAAAACTGGAGTTAGGTTTTATGGGATCTGATTTAAAAAAAAAATGTTAGTTGGGATACTTGACAGTGTTAAATTCCTACATTAATGAATGAAACAATTTTGAAAATAACTTTTTTCTTTTTATTTCTATATGCAACTTTCTACTTACAATGCTATACCTCCTGCTCATTTCTGGTTTGCAATCTAAATTTCCTACTCCCTGATCATTGCTGATCCTTCCCCTCCCAAATTCTCCAATTTGTGGCCTTCACGGGGTGGGAGGAGGGGTGTGGTTGCGGTAGCTACCAAGCTCAGTCATCATCAACACCCTGAAGGAGAAAGGCGAATGCCCGACAGCCGGCCAAGAGGAGTGAGTTGAGCAGGTCCCAAAGGCAGTGTTAACTGACGAGAAGTTCATTGGCAGGTATCAAAAAGATGTTGTCAGGCAGCAGCTACAACATGGTCTGGAGGAAGTGGTGACTCACACACATGGTCTAGAGCCTGGTCCGTAAAGATTCCCTGGCCTTGGGCCCTGCTCTCTGGGGAGGGGTCAAAGAGTTGGGCACCAAGATACTACACATTGAAAGCTAGACATGAGTAGCAGCGTCAAGTTGAACAGTAAGCGAGCAAGACAGGTTGCTTCAAATGGTGCCAGTTATGTGGGGAGCAATGTTAAAACTAATGTCACAATACTCCATGAGATTGCAGGCCCCATTAACTCACAACATTGAAGTGAAACAACAGTAAGTGGTCAACATTTAAACAAGAACTTACTGCATTGCATTGCAACTAATGCATAAGTAGACTGGTGATTTCAAAAATGTCTTGGAGTGACTTTGTTTAGATCTCTCTGCACCACTTCACTTGCATTTTTGCTTTTGCATTAATTGCTTTTATTTCTATCTTCAATTTTCTGCTTAATCTCTGTTTTAACCTTAATGGTTTCCAGTAATTCATTATGTCATATACTTCCAGACGATTTTAGCAATATGCAAAGCATTTTTGTTGTCCAATCAGTGCAATTAACTTTACCACAACACTCCTGTTTAATATCCTAAACCTCAAAATTTGTTTTTCCTCCTTGTTAAATTAAACTAAATTAATACTGATCCCAAAATAAGCCACAATTTATGATGACATTACTGGACAAGTTGAAACCTAGAATGAAATCTGACTTGATAGATTGTTTGTTTGATTTGTTTAGTTAATTAACATGGCAGCTAATCATTGAAATAAATTCACACAAGGCTGCTGATGCTTTCTAACAACAGAAGGTGAGATGATGGCCTTTTGGTAATATCACTAGCTACTTTCTGAACTTGTAGTCTAAAGTTCTGGGGACCCAGGTTCGAATACCACCGTGGCAGATGGTGAAATTTGAATTCAAAGGACTGGTGTCCTTCGGAGAAGGGGTTCAGCCTGCATGTGGCTCCAAGCCAGCAATGATGTGGTTGATTCCCAACTGCTCTCTGAAATGGCCAGGTGACTCAGTTGTGTCAGTCGATACAAAGTCTCAACAAAGGAATGAAACTGGATACAGTGTGGAGTTGGAGGAGCACAGCAGGTCAGGCAGCAACAGAGGAGCAGGAAAGTCGATATTTCAGGTTTACACTCTTCTTCATGAATTCGATAGACCACCTGGCATTGACGTAGGCACAGAAAATGTTGAGCCCCACACCATATTGATTTAGAAATTTATCACCATGCCTTCAGCATTGCTGGGTCAAAATCCTGGAATCTGTGTGAGTGTACTTACAGCAGATAGAGGCAGCTGTGCAAGAAGGCAGCTTGTCACAACCTTCTCAAAGGCAACTAAGGACAGTCAATAGGTCCAGCCAGAAAGGCCCATATCCCACAAGTTAATAAAGTTTTTGTTCAAGCGATGAGTGTACTATTTATCAAGGTTATCTCCCCGTCTACAGGAATACGAGGGTAACAAGTGCTACAAGAACATTGTTTGGAATCTCATGTTGACAGTATGTTCAGTCTATAGTATTGTGTTGAAAAATGAGCACATTATTAGGGAATAATTTGATGTTAGAGGTTTACTTTCACTTTTCCTTTCTCTCTGCAGTTTTTGGTGCAAGACTGATGTATGGACACTAACTCAAACGTCAAATAGCCCCCATCATGGTCCTGCTGTTATACAATGAAGCATATTTACTGCATCATTTATCTAAACAAAATTACATTGACAACTTTCAAATAATTATATGCATTAAACAATTCAGTATTTATATGTTTGGTGTTGGAATAATTTAGTATGAGTTAGCTTTGTCAGTGAAAGTATTAGTTATACCTTTTTAGCGTAAAGGCTACAGAGTACCCATCAAAGTTCTTTGCAAGCAATTTTGATAAATGTCAAATTCTGTCATTACTGAATTACTCATGGTATTTCACATTGAAGTATATTTTGTAATGTCCTTGGAATTTTCTATGATACAAATCAAAATAGGTATTTTTCATTCTCATCATCTTTTGGTTTCTCACTTAATAAGGAAGTGCCTGTGTGTGAAGTCATTTGTAGCATGACATGATCCTTTTATATGTGTCAAAATTTTTTGACTATAAATGACTTTTTATGTGGTAATTATGATTTAAATCAACATTTCAAAAATAGGGGAAAAATTAAAATGAAAAAAAAAACAAAAATGACTGGGTGGAATTGTTTTCTCTAGCACTATGTTTGATGTTGCAGTTTGCCAATTCCCACTCTTGACAGTGTTGCTGTAAGGAGAAAATTTTTGAATTGGATCATAAAGGTCATCTTGCAAATGTATACGATGTCCTGTACTTTGTGAATGTGGTGTAATCGATTCTAGTCAACAAGGTGCAGAGCTGGATGAACACAGCAGGCCAAGCAGCATCATAGGAGCCTTTCTGCTCCTATGATGCTGCTTGGCTTGCTGTGTTCATCCAGCTCTGCACCTTGTTGTCTTGGATTCTCCAGCATCTGCAGTTCCTACTATCTCTAATCGATTCTAGTTCTTGCCAGGGTTAATTATCACATTTAGGGCATTAGAATCATCATCAACACTCTCAAAAATAAAGCTGTTTGGAAAAAGGAACAACATATGCAAAAACAAAACAGAAATAAGGGAAATGTGAATATTAGAATGAGTTGCCATTTTTGCATTTTGAAGTCAAAGGTTGTAAACTAAATTAATTTGCATATAGGTTCTGAGGGACTCCAGGTGTTGTTGCAAAATAGGGAGGAGCTTTTACTTTGAAGAATTCTGGGAAAGCTATTACAATTTCCTGAACTTAAAGATGTAAATATTCTTCTAATCTACAGTCAGAATGGTAGGTACATTGAAATTTTATACTCATGGTAAAGATGAAGTAAAATTAATAAAATCCTGGCTGGTTGACCAGGTAAACAACTGGCATATTGAACAAGGTGTTTTTACTAGCACTTTGATTTGAATCCTGTCTGGTGTTTCTGTGTGCTCCTCTCTTTATCTCTCTCTCTCACTCTGTGTTAAGGGATACTGGTGTCTGTATTTGAAGATATTTAGTAATTAGATGTGGTTCCATAGTACAAACTCCTTCAAAGGAGTCCCCACAGGATTGTGAAACACCTGAAAACAGGCTGAACAGGTTTCACAACACAGCTGCTGAATTCTTTAATGATGCTGCTTGGCCTGCTGTGTTCATCCAGCCCTGCACCTTGTTGTCTCGGATTCTCCAGCATCTGCAGTTCCTACTATCTCTGCTGAATTCTTTATTTACTTGAATATGAAAAGCATGCCTTTAAATAGGTAGAGATAGTAAGAACTGCCGGTGCTGGAGTCAGAGATAACAAGGTGTGGAGCTGGATGAACACAGCAGGCCAGGCAGCATCAGAGGAGCAGGAAAGCTGACGTTTCAGGTTGGGACCCAGGAAGGGTCCTGCACCACCTCCCCCTTTCCACCAGCTTGTCCTGCTTAATGTCAACTCCTGTTTATTTGTTCTATCATGTAGTAGACCAAGAAGACTACAATGATTATACCCAGCCTGTAATTAAGTGGATTTTTCAGAATCCTTTAAGACAGCATCAGATCCTACTGCATATGCTGTATCATTGCCTATATACATTGTAGCTTTAATAACTCTGGAAGCCAATAAACACTTCTTCAAACTCAGCCAGCCCAGTAGAAATCAATTAGCTTTGTGATCCCTGTTAAATATTGCTGGTGGGGTGATTCAACTTACTGTTGAAAGTACATTCAGCTGTGTAAGTGCCTCAACTAGAGTGTTTAGCTGCAAAGTGCACTAAGCAAGACCCAGTTATATGCGGGATGACTTCACAATGTGGCTCTTACACGTGTCATTAGCTGAAGCTCCCAGCTGCACAAAACTCTTCACAACGGCAAACAGCATCTTCATCAAGGAGTAACCTGATCGCAGATGCTGTCTTCAGGTTCATGTTTATGAAAGGTCTTTGGTTGGAGGCATTTATTCTGATTCTGTTTCTCTCACCAGATAATGTTGTCTGCTGTTTTGAATCAACAGTTTTTGTTTATTTCTGTCTTCACCTTCCAGTGTAAATCATTGAAAAAATTATTTATCTGTTCTCTCCACAGATTCTAACTAATTTGGTGTGTTGTTATTACTTCCTGCATTTACAATTTGTTTCTGTTTTATTTCTTTTTTTTTAAACCTTGCTTTTGTCACAATGGCCTACTTTGCAAAGTGTCTTCATGCATGTTAATTAGTTGGTGATCGTCCTGCCTCCATTTCAATGGAAGTACTAGCGCTATGGGATTTGGAGCAAACTGGGTAGCGGTGGTGTGCTACAGACCACTCACAGGTTTTGTGTTCTTGTGGCAACATGCACATTGCTATCTGGAGCTGTGAAGAGCGATGGCAGAAGCTCTGCCTTTCTTTCCATTATGTGGCTGACTAGGAGCCATCTGCCACTGGCATGTGTGGAGAGGATCTGCAGGCTGATAATCAACCAGTTTGACATCATTATAAATGTACTTTCCTTAGCCATCAAGCCCTGAGGTGAGACTCTAACCTACCAGCAATTATGCCACACAACCTCCTCACTATATTGAGTGCTGAAGGATAAATATTTGTTTTCACAGATGCGTTTCATGCTGCTTTTCAGCCGTCAAGGCAAATTGAGGCTCCAGAAGTGGTATACTCCGTTGCTTGATAAGGAGAAGAAAAAGATTACTCGGGAACTTATTCAAATTGTGCTGTCTCGACAATCCAGAATGTGTAGTTTTGTTGAATGGCGAGATCTGAAAATTATTTATAAAAGGTTTGAACTTTTTAATACAGATTTATGCAACATTTTCACTACATATACTCTAATTAGTAACAGGTCATTTATTGAATTTTGATGGGAGCTATGACTTCAGGTAAATCACAGAAAACAAGATCCAGTTACTTTCAAGTACAGTTACAACATTTAAAAGACACCAGTGGCATGGTGGCTCAGTGGTTAGTACTGCTGCCTCATAGCACCAGGGACCCGGTTCGATTCCACCCTCGAGTGACTGTGTGGGGTTTGCTCATTCTCCCCTTGTCTGCGTGGGTTTCCTCCAGGTGCTACCGTTTCCTCCCGCAGTCCAAAGATGTGCAGGGTAGGTGGACTGGCCATGCTAAATTGCCTGTAGTGTTCAGGGATGTGCCAGCTGAGTGGATTATCCATGGGAAATGCAGGGTTAAGGTAGGGGTGTGGATCTGGGTGGGGTGCTTTTCAGAGGTTGGATGAAATGGCCTGGTTCCACACTGTAGGGATTCTATGATTCAAAGCAGATGATTACTCAAGTGCTGGCACCAGCTGTTTTTTTTTTGACATGTCAGTCTGTTGATTCTTTAAAGAACAAGGAAAAGCTTCCGTGTTTGTTTCAACTGAATTTTATTAGCAGCCACTTTGTTTTGGAACAGTCATCCTAAATTGAGTTCACAGTTCCTCCCCTGCCTTCAGTAATTTTGTATGCTGCCTTATTGAATTCTTACTTTTTGCCACTCCAAGATATCCTGTTATGCCACTATTGTAGCTGAAAGGTGAGTTTTAATTTGCTTTATTTTGACTGCTCACCTTTCATTGAATTAAACCATAGCCTATTCCATTCAGTATAAACCATGATTTAAAATTTTAGCAGCTCAAACCATAAGTCAATGAAATTTACCCCTGTACCCTCCACTGTAAATTCGAACTTCAATGCCTAATCCATCAAAACATAAAGTTGATACAAAGACTGCATCCCATTCTACTGAAAAGAAAAATAACTCGTACTTATGTAGCACCTATCGCAACCTCAGTACAGCACTTTAAGTGCAGTCACTGGCTATTGTGTAGGATACAGGGCAGTCAATTTACATTCAGCAAGGTCACATAAATAGGAATATGATAATAACCAGAATGTGTTTCTTTTTGTGATACTCATAGAGGGATAAATATTTTTCAGGACACAGACAATATCCTTGTTCTGTTTCAAAATAGTGCCTAGGGATCTTTTGCAAACACCTGAGCAGGTAGGTGGGGCCTTGATTTAAAGTCTTATGAGAAATTTAGTATGGCCGATCCACCTAACGTGTATCGCTGTCAGTGCATTGTTCCCTCTGTACTGAACTGCATATCAGCTTTAACCTTTTGTAGAGCTTGACCCCAATGCCCCTCAGAGGCGCATGCTCCCTTGTTACTAATTCCATCCTTTTATCTGTCAAAAGTCAAATTAAGTCTGTCTATTTGCAACCTTGATGCCACGTCTGATTCCAAACTGACTTTCTGACCCCAACTCATGCCATGACTAAGACCACTTAATTCAACCTGCATATCATCACCTGACTTGATCGTTGGCGTATTAATTTGTGAACAACAAGCAGGACCAAGCTGTTCAGCATCTTGAACATGCTTTGCTATTCAACAAGTGTGTGTTGATCAAATCTATATTCCTTCTACCCACCATAACCACCTCCCCTACACTTAACAAGAATCATTTAACCTCTGCCTTCAAAATATTCAAGGACTGTGTTTCTGTCACCTTTATATTAAGAGTTGTAAAGGCTCATGACCCTTTGAGAGAAAACAATTTTGCCTCATCCTTGCCTTAAAGGGACTATCCTGGATTTTTAAATTGTGAGCCCTCATTCTAGGTTTTCCTAAAAGACGATTCATCTACTCCAAATCTACCCCATCAAGACATCCCCCTCCCTCCCCAGCATCTTTTTTATGTTTCAATCAAGTTACCTCTTACTCTTTGAAACTCCAGAAGATACAGTAGCTTGTCTAACCTATCCTCATAAGACCACCTGCCTATTATAGGGGTTGGTCTAGTAAACCATCTAATGCTGTTGCATCCTTCCTTAAAAAAAGTCACCACTTCTGAACCTTGCCATTATTTAAGAAAGGCTGTAAGGAAAAGCTGAGAAACTATAGACCGGTGAGCCTTACATCAGTGATGGGTAAGTTGTTGGAGGGAATTCTGAGGGACAGGATTCACATTCATTTGTAAAGGCAAATACTGATTAGGGATATTCAGCATGGCTTTGTGCATGGGAAATTGCGTCTCACTAACTTGAGTGAGTCTTTTGAAGAGGTGACAAAAAAGATTGAAGGCAGAGCAGTAGATGTTGTCTACATGGACTTTAGTAAAGTGTTCAACAAGATTCCGCATGGTAGACTGGGCAGTAAGGTTAGATCACATGGGATCCAGGGGAGCCAGCCAATTGGATATCAAATTGGCTTGAAGATAGGAGACAGATGGTGGTGATGGAGGGATGTTTTTCAGACAGGAGGCCTGCGACCAATGGTGTGACAGAAGGATTGGTTCTGGGTGCATTGCTTTTTGTTATTTATATAAATCATTTGGATGTGAATAGGTGGGTATGATTAGCAAGTTTGCAGATGACATCAAAATTGGTAGTGTAGTGGACAGTGAAGAAGATTATCTCAGAATACAACAGGACCATGATCAGACGGGCCAGTGGGCCAAGGAGTGTCAGATGGAGTTTAGTTTAGATAAATGTGAGGTGTTGCATCTTGGTAAGGCAGACCAGGGCCGGACTTATGTAGTAAATGGTGGGGCCCGGGGGAGTGTTGTCGAACAAAGAGACCTAAGGTGCAGGTACGTAGTTCCTCGGGGAAAGTGGAATTGCAAGTAGATAGGGTTTTGAAGAAGGCATTTGGCATGCTTGCCTTCATCTCTCACAACGTTAAGTGTATAAGTTGGGATGTGGCTGTTGTACAGGATATTGGTGAAGCCACCTGTGGAATACTGCGTACAGTTCTGGTTGCCTTTCTATAGGAAATATGTTGTTAAAGTTGAGAGGATGCAGAAAAGATTTACAAAGATTTTGCCAGGTCTGGAGGGTTTGAGCTATGGGAAAGGCTGAATAGGCTAGGGCCTTTTTCCCTGGAGCATCGAAGACTGAGGGGTGACCTTTTCTAGAGGTTTATTATATCATGAGGGCCATGGATAGGGTGAATAGCCAAGGTCTTTTACCCAGGGTAGGGGAATCCAAAACTAGAGGCATAGGTTTAAGGTGAGAGGGGAACAATTTAGAAAGGACCTGAGGGGGTAACTTTTCATGCAGAGGGTGTTGCATGTGTGGGATGAGCTGCCAGAGAAAGTGGTGGAGGTAGGTACAATCACAGCATTTAAAAGGCATCCAGATGGGTGTATGAATAGGAAAGATTTAGAGGGATGTGGGCCAAATGCTGGCAAAGAGATTAGGTGAGACTGGGATGTTTGGTGGACACAGATGAGTTGGATCGAAGGGTCTGTTTCCATGTTGTATGACTCTATGTAGTCTTAAAAATTTTCTGTCCAGACTAATCTCTCTAATCCTGTATTTGGTTCTCTTGAGTTGGCTCATTTGCTACTGAAACCTTCACTCATACTTATGTTCACTTCTGGACTTGTCTATTCCAATGCACTTATGGCTCATCTCTCACACTCTGATCACCCAAAATGCTGCCAATGCTTCATTCGCTCCTGTCCTCCATCATCCTTGTGCTTGCTGACCAGCATTGGTTTCTGGTCAAACAAAGTCTTTGTTTAAATTTCTCATTCTTGGTTTTTAAATCCTTCCTTGCACCTCATTATCTCTCTCTGTTTTCCTCCAATGTATCTATACTCTTCTAAGTCTGGCTTGTTATGCATCCCTGATTTTTAAAAATTTGCTCTGTTGTTATTACCATGCCTTCTGTTGCCCTGAGTTCTGAAATAACAATCTCCACATCTCTCCACCTGTTCGCCACACTGTTCTCCTTTTAACATTCCCCTAACAGCGTACCTCTTTGACAAACTTTTGGTCATCTGAATTTTTTTTTCTCTGCGTGCCTCAATGGTATATTTTGTTTTAATTCTTCAGTGAAGAGTCTTCGGATGATGCCAAGTAAGTTGTTATAATGTGCCACCAGCTGAGCCCTGATTAGCACATTGTTAGATGTATCAAAGTTCTGTAAATGCTGTAATATACTCAAACAGGCCACGTGGACTCACCACCCAATGCCAATGATGTATTTGTAAATGCACAGTTTGTGGCTGAATCTTTTTGTATCCCTATGCCAACTCTTCATAACATTTTCAGGAAATTAATCAAGATCAGCCCCATTGTGCACCCTCCCACTTTAGCAAGTGCTCATCCCCTTTCTGGCATTAAAAGTTTAGTTAAGTTGGCATGACGTCATTCCTATTTTTTGATTTATTAGGCAAACCAATATTTATGACTGAGTATTGCATAAAATCCAAATATGCCCTCATGATTTTTGACTTTAGTGCTGAAGATTAATCTTCACCATACAGTTTTAATACATAACACATCTCTTTTGGGACTTGGTGACTTAAATAGTCATGTTATTGAAAGTGCAGTTTGCCCAGAGTTGGAGTATAGACTTCTTGAGCTGAAGCGATCACCATCCGTCTAATTGTCTCTCTCTATCGCCACCATGTGGTAACTGTGCACATTTGTGTAATTGGTCCATCCCCAGCAGATTCTAAATAGCAAAGATAGTGACTGAAAGCTATTTGGATGAATAATTTTCCTTCTTCCTTGTTTGCAACAAAAAAATAAATTTCCCACTGTTCTGTCCATACATGTGATGTTTCTAGGTGATTCCTCTGGATTCGGCTATCTTCATATTCTAACCCTTCAATTTAGTATCATTGTGACTCTGATCGCTTTTCTTTGTTTAAACGTATAATCTCTATGAAAAATAGCTCTCGAAAATGTTGATTTATATAATAATCATATTTCTGTTTTCTACTTTTATTCTATCACAGGTATATTTAAGTAGCTAAAAAAAACCAAAAGAACTGCAGATGCTGTAAATCAGGAACAAAAACAAAGTTGCTGGAAAAGCTCGGCGGGTCTGGCAGCATCTGTGAAGGAGAAAACAGAGTTAACGTTTCGGGTCCGGTGACCCTTCCTCGGATGCTGCCAGACCTGCTGAGCTTTTCCAGCAACTTTGTTTATATTTAAGTAACTCTTGCTGATACTATGATCTTGCAGCAAATTTGTATACTTCGTCTAGATTCTGCCAATATTTCACTCCTTTCCGTTTTGTTTTCTTTTGTGCACTTTCTCTATTTGCAGTATTGTTTCACTAATTGTTTTTATATTTAATAAGAGAACCATAAAATTTAAGTATACTGCAGTGGCAGAATTAATTTTCAAATGGCTCGGCAAAAAATGAGCTGACACTTTAGCCTGAGGGAGCACTATAAGAGAACAGCAATGAACAGTCACTATCATCAGAAGGAAAGAGTTTGGTGCCATAAAAGGAGAAATGAAATTTGAAAATGATACCCTTGCCCTTCGGATGTTTTTTTACCTCTGTTATGATAAAGAAAAGTGTAAGTGCAGTTTATAGTTCCATTACAAGAGTGCCTAGGAGAAATTTGTATGTCACTGTCAAGAGAATAGCAATGTGTTGTTCAAATCTTTGTTGAATGCAAGCCACTCCAAAAACTCACTGTTATTATCCAGTGTCATAAAATGATTCAAAAACATGATTTCTTGTATGGCTACCCAGAGGTAACTTGCTGAACCAAAATATTGGAGAAATGCCTCCAAACAATTTGATCAGATGAGCTTTTGCACTGGATTGGCAAAATTCTGACTTGAATCAACAAAAGTGTTTGCCTGGTTGCTGAACAACTGGTATACAGTAGTAATAGAAATGATCTACTCAAATGAGAACTATATTATTGGCTGCGTCTTGCATACTCCATCCTTGTATGTAATAAGTATCAAAGGCATGTTTCAAATTGTTTCCAGAGATCTTGTTAATATTTTGTAAATAATATCCAAGTGAAATTCAGTTAACAGGTGTTATAATGCAATGTATTTATTGCCCAAGTCAGTAATTTCTTTGTTTATTTTTCTGTGGTATTGTTATTTCAAAGGAGTATGCAATTTTCATTGTACGTAATTTACTTTAACAAAGGCCTTAATTAAATGTTTACAATTCAAAAAAATCCATTGTTCACATTTCATTTATGTAACTGTTTGGAAAGAAGAAAACTTGTAGAATTGCCCTGTAAATAGTTCATGTACTGCATGTAATTTCATGTTTCTCTAATTTCTTTGTTCCTCAGGTTTGCTAGTTTATATTTCTGTTGTGCAATAGAGGAACAGGACAATGAGCTTCTGACTCTAGAAATCATTCATCGTTATGTGGAACTTCTGGATAAGTATTTCGGAAATGTATGTTTTCTGTGGTAAATATATTTTAAAATTTAGAGTAAAATGGAAGATTTACTGGATTTTATCACTTTGTCACCCCACTATGGTGGTTGAAATTGTTTATCTGATTAAATTCTGCTTTTTAAGAAAGGAAGAAACCTTGATTTCTACTCGATCAGCGTCATTGGTGCTTTTGCATGGAACAAAAACTTCTTGATCAACTACAGGCAAAGCCTAGTTAGCTACTAAATGTGCAAAGCTCATTTTAGCTTGTTTCAGCCCGAATTTTGTAAAGACTCTTCAACTGAACCAATGATATTTCCCATAGCAGCCTAAGGGAAAGCTTTTTCTGTCATAGGCACTGGATTAAGCCTGCCCAAACTTTGTTTTTATACGCTGGCTGTAAACTTTCGGCTTCTAACACTATTCCTCGGATTGGAAGGGGTCTGTAACCAAGGCACAATCCTGTCTTCAGGATCATATTCACCATAAAGTGTTAAAATAAAGCCAACAATATTTAATCATAAAACTGTTCAAAGACCTCACAGTTCAATGTAGGCTTTTGACTAGTACGTTGAAATCAATTCCCATTTATTTAAGTTAGATTCTCCGTTAATCAATTCTTTTAACATGCACTTGTCATACTGTTGCCTCGGTGAGGAATCAAAGATGGAAATCAATCCTCCTACTTTGGTGATCATCTGATGGTAAACCAATTAAATGGCTTAAGAATTTAAATCTCATCGCAAGATTTATGCACTACTGTGCTATTTGTGTTGGATTACTCTGGAGATATGTATTCTAAATTAAAGTTGGTTGAAAGTTTGTGTCTAGTTCATTGAATAAAATGCAAATTAAATATTATTTTGTTAGGTGCAATGGGTGAGGTAATTGTTAAGCTCATGGAAGTTGTAAAATTCAATTGATGGGTTTACATTTGCTATTGAGTGACTTTTAGATTTCACTGTTAACAGATCTGGGGAGGCAGCAGTAGAGTTGACAGGAGACTCTCAATCAGGTGGGACTGGGGTAGGATGAGTGTAAATCACAGTTTGTTTAGTTTGCTCAATGCTGATCAGATTTGTGGAAAGGCCTACCCCTTCTCAAGTGAGCTGGATAGTAAATATAAGCTACTGAAAAAGTTTTGGGAAAATGTTTAATGACATTCTTATTAAAACGGAGAAGGACTATAGAAAGCAATAGGATAATGAGTAGAGACAAAAAAAACTGCAAATGCTGGAATCCAAGATTGACAAACAGGAGGCTGGAAGAACACAGCAGGCCAGGCAATATCTGAAGGAAGGAGTAGTCAACATTTCGGGTATTACCTTTCTTCCAGCCCTGAAGAAGGGTAATACCCAAAACATTGACTGCTCCTTTCCTCCAGATGCTGCCTGGTCTGCTGTGTTCTTCCAGCCTCCTGTTTGTCTACCAGTAGGACAGTGGGATTGGGAGTCCTTGTCCAGGAAACTCAAAAGCTAGCCTCCAATATACACAAATAATAGGAAAGGCAAATTAAATGTTGGCCTTTATTTCAAAGGGAATGGAGTCTAAAAATAAGGAGGTTTTCCTAATATCCGACAAGGCACATGCCCCTCATGATCTTACACACCTCAGTCAGGTCCCCTGTCAGCTTTCTCTGTTCTAAATAAAACAACGCAAGCTTATCCAGCATCTCTTCATTGCTAAACTGCCCCATCCCAGGCAATATCCTGGTGAATTCCTTCTGCATCCCACCAGTGCAATGACATCCTTGCTGCAGTGTGTGACCAAAACTGCATGCTGTATTCCAGCTGCGACCTAACCAAAGTCTTGTGCAACTCCAACATAACCTCCCTCCTCTTGTAACCAATGCCACATCTCATAAAGCAAGTGTCACACGTGCTTTTTAAACTACCCTATTAACTTCTGCTGCTGCTTCAGGGATCTCTGGACAAGCACCCAAGCTTCCAAGTTTCCTGCCATTGACTGAGTACTCCCTTGTCTTGTTACTTCTTCCAAAGTGCATCACCTCGCCTTTTTTCCAGGCTAAATTCCATCTGTCTCTGATCTGACAATTGCCAATGTCGTCCTGTAATCTAAGACCTTCCTCACTATCAACCACCTGGCCGATCTTCATGTCATCTACAAATTTACTTATTTCCCCCACATTCTTTTCTATGACATTTATGTACTCCTCTCAAACAATAAGGGAACCAGCACTGATCCTTATGGTAAGCCACTGGACACTGACCTCCAGTCACATAGCCTTCTACCCTCTATCTCCTAGCACAAAACCAATTTTGATTCACCTTGTCAAGTTACCCTGGTTCTCATGTGCTTTACCTTCTTTATCAGTCTCCCACTTGGGATCTTGTAAAAGGCTTTGCTGAAATCCATACAAATTACATCAACTGCTCTACTCTCATTGATGAACCCGGTCACCACCTCAAAAAAAAAATCAAATTTGTTAGGCATGGCCTCCCTCTGACAAAGGGATGTTGACTATTCGTGATCAAACCTTGCCTCTAAGTGGAGATTAATTTCCTCCTTCAGAAATGTATCTAATAGTTTCCCCACCTTTGATATGAGACACACTGGTCTGTATTTCCATGGTTAATCTCTACCACCCTGTTATAAAGTGGAGCCAGATTAGCTATCCTCCAGTCCTCTGCCATCTCCCCTGTAGCCAGGGAAGAATGAAAGATTTGGGTCAGAGCCCCTGTAATGTCCTCCTTTGTCTCCCACAGTAGCCGGGGATACAATTCATTTGGTCCTCGAGATCTGTCCATTTTTAGGCCTGCCAATACTTCCTCATTCCCAATGTCAATGTGCTTAAGAACCTCACAGTTCTCCTTTCTGAATGCTGTGCTAAAGTAGTTTTCCTGAATGAAGGTGTGAAGGACTCGTTCAACACCCTCCCAGTGTCAGAGATAGTAGGAACTGCAGATGCTGGAGTTTCCGCGACAACAAGGTGCAGAGCTGGATGAACACAGCAGGCCAAGCAGCATCATAGGAGCAGAAAGGCTGACGTTTCGGGCCTCGACCCCAGTGTCCTCTGGTTCCATGCACAGATTGTCCCCTCGGTCCCTAATTGGTCCCAATCTTTCCCTGGCTATTCTCTTCCACTTAACATACTTATAGAATATCTCGGGATTCTCCATAATCTTACCCGCCAGTGTTTTCTCATGCTCCCTGTTTGCTTTCCCAATGCTTTCTTAAGATTTCCCCTGCATTTTCTATACTCCACAAGGGCCTCTGTTGATTTGCTCCCTTTGTACCTTTCGAAAGCCTTTCTCTTCCTCCTTATTCAGTCTTGAATAGTGCTAGACATCAGGTTTCTCTGGACTTGTGGCTCCTACATTTCACCCTAAAGGGAACATGTTGGGCCTGTACTCTCCGCATTCCTTTTTTTTTTGAAGTTAGCTGTTTGCTGTCATGCTGTACATTTACCTACAAGTAGCCAGTTAGTGTACAATATTCCTGAAACTGCTGCATGGCCATAATAGTTATTGTTTAATGTTGTTCCTATTTGTGAAACAATTTCTAAAACTTGCTGCTCTTTTGTGTGGAACTGTTATCTGTGCCTCCTTTTAATTACTTTGTGCAAAGTTATTTTTAGATTCTGGGGGCCAGGCAGCTCAGTTGGATAGATGGCAACCACATGGCACAGAATAATGGCAACAGCACAGGTTTGATTCCCATTTTGGTTTAAGCAGATTGGGGCTATTAAGTAAGAAGCAATGGCAAACCAGCACTGGAAAAAATATAAGGCAAGAAATTTGCTCAGGATGAAGTATCACAGACAATAAGCCAAAAATCCTGCCTTTGGGCAGAGCACATTTCACTCGCTTACAATAAAAACACTCAGCAGGCCAGTCAGCATCAATTGAAGGGAAAGCTTGGGAATATTCCTGGTGTTGGATTTTTAGGCTGGAATTTTTGTCATGAAGGAAAGGGTCTCTAACCCAGCCAAATGGTACTAAAGCTCCAATTCCTAAAGTTACACCATTCTCACTGGGGTGAATGGGAACTGTTGTACTTTCTGCATCCATGGTTCACATTGACAGTTACATATGTTAAAGTTCAATTGTGAAAAGTAGATTTGAATGTGCATTGAAAAGTGGATAAATTAATTGGAACTGTCAAGTAGTTAAGGGATTTGCCAAGGTATTTAAATTTCTGACCTTTTACAATTTCTTGGAAGAGAAGCAGCCTGCAGTATCACTCTGACATATGTCTGAGTGCTATCTTTATGGTATTTATTCTGCATGATTGATTTCACAAGCTGTCATTGTCATGTGAGCATCAGGTGGGTAAAGAGGCATAGGTTAGCATGGAGGGTACGATGGGCATAAGATTGTATGAGTTGACATGAATAAGGCAAGAATACTGGGGCTAATTGTGTTTTTTTTTAATAAGTGTGATAACATGCCAGAGCATTGAGGCCAGCCTTTCAGATAGCCTGCCACAGCACTCAAACTGCTTTTTGTTTTAAATCTTCAGCATTCGCTGTTCTTTGTTTTTTTTTAAAGTTAAACAGAGTTTATTCTCACTCACTTATTGTCACTCTCACTTTCTCCCTCAACACTTTAGTTTCAATTGGACTTAAATTTGCATCTTAATAGAGAAGAAAAATCTTGCAAATTGAACATGATGTCCTGGTTCTATTGTGTTTCATGAATTGAGAATGATGCTAACTAAAAGAAAAATCATTTGTCTGAATATTAATAACAGCTCAAAGATTTAACATTCATGATCTGAATATCTAATTTGAATATTTTAAGGACTACATATCTACAGAATTATTTGTTTAAATCTTTATATGAAATTACTTTAGCTACTAACTGAATTCAGCAAACTTGGCAATTTTGATGTATTTTCTTAGGTTTGTGAACTGGACATTATTTTTAATTTTGAGAAGGCCTATTTCATACTGGATGAATTTTTAATCGGAGGAGAATTGCAGGACACCTCAAAGCAAAGTATACCAAAAGCGATAGAAGAAGCAGATATGCTTCAAGAGGTAAGGTATAGAATTACTGATGGTTAAACAAAAATGAAACTTGTGCTAATATTGGCTACACACTAACTGAGGCTTATGAAGTTCTTTTATAAGAAAAGTAGATCTATTTTTCTTATAAATGTATTGTCTTTAATGCATTTAAAAGTTCAGTTGATAAAGGTAGCAGAGCATGAAGCAAAAAGATTGGGAAATGGAACCTATAACAACCCAATCTTTGAATTGGTGAGAGATAAACATCTATAGTTCTAGCTACCCAGTGACTCCTGTTGCAAAATTCTCGAATTGTATAATTTATTTTGGTAGTCAATTTCAGAGCGTTTGGCAGGTTTCTCTCTGTGAGCTTGGGCAAGTTATCTCATGCAATTCTTCACAGCTCACCTCCTTATGTATGCAGCATGTCTCTATGGTGACCCATTGGTGCTATCGTGCACTTACCAAAGGCAGGCGTACTTGTCACTGCAGGAAACAGCCAGAATTTGTTACTGTCGTCCCATATTTGAACAGCAGCAGGTCATTGCAGTGCTAGCCATGAGCTGCCCTTCTCGACGCATTTAGTAGGAGGGGAAGAAAAAAGAGACCCTTCTAAGGACACGTAGATGGCATGGGTGACCGCAGCAAATACAAGCTCACGTTTGTAAATTTATTACTTTTTTTACATCATTTGTCAGATCGACAGTCACTGTAGCTGAAGCTACAAGAATCAAGCTACACGTTACCTGTCCTTAGAGCCATAAAATGTCAGAACCCTGTCTGAGAGAGTGCTACTTTTTTTTTGGCTAACATCCAATATAGATAACATCTTCATCGTTCAATGTGGGAAAAACACATGTTGGAAAGCATCATTTAAGCATTATGGTAATTTCCAGGGCACCTGGTGCAGACTTCCAAAATCTGGTACCGATGACTTGTCCATTGATGGAATGTAACCCTTTTACATTGAATTCAGCTGCGTACTGGTTTATGGCTCATATGGTCCTCTCGACCCAACCTGTGTACAGTATCCTGTACCTGGGGAAGCCAGCTTTATTCGCAAAGCCTGTGCTGCTGCACTAATCTAATCAGGCAAAATTAGGTAGTGATAAGAACTCCAAGCAGCTGGTTGACTGTGTCTAAACCATGTCCAAGTATAACATTAGGCGCTGCCTTTGACTGACTGTGACAGGACCCCTAACTGATTATTGTCCTCCTTGCCTTAACCAAGCACTACTGCCTTTTTATATTTTGAAGCACATTTAGTCCGATTTGCCACCTATATTTCAGGCACACGCTGTAGGTGTGGCAGTGATATAACATATCTTGTATGCCCACCCCTTGACTGATCACTGACAAGCTGCTCAGCTGTGTGTTTGTGCTAGACAACAAGAAGGCAGAGCAGCAGTATAATACTGTATAAAGTAACCTGGAAGCAACATTGCAATGATATGCAGTACGGGTGCACTCCAAAGTGTACTGTTGAAATGGAGAACTATACCCTGTGAGTTGGAGATGTCCTATGAGGATGTGGTGAGGCTTGCACATGTCTGATGCCAACCTTTTTGGGATGAGATATCGCTGTGCATGGAGCATGACTTGAGATGTTTGGGTGTGCTGTCTAGGATAGAGGCTAAGAGGAGCAAATGGCAAGGTGGATCCAACAGGTACTTGCTCAAACTTGGTAAGGAATTGTCACCTTTTTTCGTTTCTCTCTTGCATGGGGGAGAATTGGAAACTACGTATCAATGAAGTGAGGTTAGGTACTAATAATGTGTAAATGCATGCAAATAAGCCTCTCATTGCTTATTGGTCAGATGCCTGCTTATAATTCAAGAATTTAGTTGTAGAGTCATGCAGCATGGAAACTTACCCTTCAGTCCAACTAGTCCAAGCCTACCATGTTCCCAAACCAAGCTATTCCCAGTTCCCTGCATTTGGCCCATATTCCTGAAAACCTTTCCTATTCACGTACTTATCAAAATGTCTTTTAAATGTTGTAATTGTACATGCATCCACCACTTCCTTTGTCAGTTCATTCCACTTACAAACCACTCTCTGTGAAACATTTTTCTGAACATCCAGAATCTGTTTTGTTCTGATCTTGCCATTGGCCTTGTTCTTCAGGCTGAGAAAATTCAGCCCTGTGAATCCAACAGACTTGATTTTGTATTTTTCATAAACTGCATGGATGTTGGCTAAAGATACTTCAGGTTCAGCAGTGGTGTCAGTTTGTCAACCTAACAGACCTGTTAGCCCACACTGTTCAGGTTCATACATAAAGAATAGGGCCTGGATGGTATTGTAAAACTGTAATCTGACAAAGAAGAATGGTTTCTGAGCAAGAAAATTGGGAACATGGAAGAAAAGATTTATTTTCTTTTGTTATACACTTTTAAAGTACTCATGAACCATTGTAGCAATTTGATATCTTTCCTGCCAGAAAATGGAAATGTTTGCTTTGTATATTCTAACCATAGGTTTATAATATTACACATTCTTATGTGAGTACTTAAATTTTTGGAGGAGACTTAGTTTGAAATTATTGTTTTAATTTAGTAATTTCTAACATTCCATTTATTGCCAACAACATTTCTTTAATGCTGCAAAGATTCTTTACATTTATTTTGAACATATTCCACTTAAATCATTTTTTTTAGGATTTTAAGAATTTATTTAAATAATCCTAACCATATTAAATCTTCCTCCAATCTGTTTTGATCCCTTTGTCACTTGTACTTATTCAATTTAGGTAGCTGTTTTGCTATGAAATCAGTCTCTGTGAGAAATTCTGATCAGTTTGCAGACATGAATTTCTTGTGTGATTTCTTGTTTTCTTGTGAAATTGAAACAGGATCATTCTCATAAACTGGTGCCATATTGCCGGCATTTCACAATTGTATTAACAGTTTCATGAATTGACTTTAATGTTGTGTTGATTTAACTAATACTTTAACATATTTGTTCCAGACCATGGAAGAATATATGGCTAAACCAACATTTTAACTTGGACATTGAAGAACTGGAAGATATAGTTTAGAAGTTCAGCCTATGCATAAACCTACAGTGACTTAAAATTTAGATATTTACATTTTGCTGCTGCACCACACTATAGAAGAATGTCATCCAAAATGCAGCTAGCACTGTGCAATATTGAGGCGTAGTATTTTTCCATGTTTTGATATTTACAGATCTTAATGTACTCTTCACTCTACACTTTCGGTTAGCAGGAGGTTTTTCACTACCTTTTTTTAAAAAAAAAAATTACAATCCTTCTTGAATTAGATTATATTGTATTTCCTCTATTGTCATTCAAAAATATCCTATTCTATAGAAACCAATCAATCTGCCAAATGTGCTTCTCATCATAAATAAAGCATTTAATCCTGAAATTCATGTACCAAATTCAGGTAGGCAATTGAGGTTGTCAGTCAATGTAATGGTTATGTATTGTGAAAATTAATGAAACTGTGATAAGCTTTTATCTTTCTGCTAATTTTTTTTTTTCAAAATGAAAGGATGTTACTTTAAACTATTTGAAATAGTTTGAAGCTGTAAAACTTAAAACCATTCAACACAAAGTTCCAGCTCAGACAATAATACCGTACAGGGGGGAAACTGCTTTTTCAGAGGAGCTGATTTTGAACGTGAGTTCCAACTGCTCTTTCAGATGGATGATCCATATCAATATTCAAAGGAAATCAACAATTTGCTTTAGTCATTGTTACCAAACACAGACTTGTTGAGAGTTTGCATCATTGCACAATTGAAATTGTTATTCACATTCAAACGCAGCTAAATACAACATCCAAGATGCTGACCTCCTTCTGAACTCCTGAAATCCATTAGAGATTGTGGTTTGAACCTATGAGAAGTTCTTGGCAGCTAACTTTGTCCACTTTTCAATGGGGGGAGCAGATAATTGAGGACAGTGACAATCATATTTTAAGCCCACGGACGTAGCAAGACTATCCATCATCTGTTGGAAATATAGAATTAGGTTATCTGTCACATGGAAACTATATAAGCCCAATGCAAATAAAATCTTCTGTCTTATTTATTATTAATCTTCTTCAATTAGCAAGGCTGCAATGTTCTTAATTGCAAACTATGGGTTTTAAGTAGCATTGTGGTCTCTACTCGCCATCTGTTTGACATCCAGCTAAGAATTGTTATTGATTATTTAACTTTATGAAGTTCCTTTTTGCCTGATGAATATTAAAGTCTCCTTTTTTGATTTTTCATTCAGCAATTCACCTCTGAAAGGAACAACCAATTTTATTTATTTTTCTACAATCTTTCAAGAATTTGCAACAGGATGGTGAAAGATTTGCTTTAAGTTATAAAAGTTTAGTATCTTCAATCATAATCCAGAGAAATATATTTAAGGTCGAATTTTTAAAAAGAGGCTATGAAAAGTTTAGCAATGTACCTTAAGGTTTGAAGAGAAATATAAAAAATAGAGTTGAGATTTAATGTCCAGGACTAATGCAGTGAGTGATTTTATAGCCACAGTTATTCTTCCGTCCACTGGGGCACTGCAAGGTACAAAAAACAAATTACTGAAAAGCTTATTTATTAGACAGAACAAATTTGTGGCACTGTGCTATTGAACATAAATGTATTTTGTGTCTGTAGGGTCTCTTTGCTCCGGGTCCCATACTAGAATCCAATGTATTGCTTATTGCTAGTAGGCTCTTTCCCTATTCAAATATTTAGTTCTCTTTTTCTCTAAAAGTTGCAATGATCTCTGCTCCAACTTTTCCTTGTGGTTGAGCATCACTGTATTGATTTTTTTTATCAATCTTCCTCCACACTACCTTTAGATAGAATCATAAATTCTAGATTAATGAATCTTCAAACAGGAAATAATGTTGCCCAGTTCGCTATTGCATATGTCCATCCATTATAATTTCTATCCAATTTCATTTTGCCAATATCTGTGATCTCCATGTATAACTATCATTTCTCATCCCTAGTCTGTTTTGGTCCATCTGTGCTATAACCAAATGGGTATTATGACTGGTAACAACTGAGTCTTAACTGGAAAAAGACACCATTTGGTACAGTGGTGTACCTTCATCACATGGACTGGAGGGGTTCATGGTGTCAACTCAACACTACGTTCTTGAACAGTAATGCTGGCCTTGGCAACAAAACTTGTATCATATAAACAATTTAAACAAAAAATTGCATCCAAAGTAATTGAGTGGAAATGCAAACAACATTTGCACCAGCAAATAACAATTGAAAAAAATTCTTAATTAGATGTATTAGAATACAAAATTATGTGCCTACAAGGTGAGAATTACAGCTTTGGGTAGAACATAGATAACCTTTATACATCGCTACAGATGTCACCAGAACAAAATGTACAACTGACAATGGCTGTCATTTGTTTAGCAGTATAAGCATTGAGTCAGTTCAAATAAATATTGTTCCTTGCAATGCAAATTATTGCCATCTGTTTAAGTAGCTAGTAATGATAATGCCAAGATCAAATTTTTTTCTGTGCTTTATATAACAGTTCTAGTTCTATACTAATAATATCTCAATGTACAAAATTCAGTTCAACTGTGAATGCATAAAAGAAATCTGGTGGATTATATTTTGGCAAGTGATAGAATACCATTTTTATATTTATACCATCTTTGCAAGCTTGTTTTGGAAAGGGTTATTTCACATCAGCTGGACCACATTGATAAAAATGAAGAAGTTTGAAGTTGTAAGTCCATGAGATCATAATATACAGGAGCAGCATTAGGTCATTCAGCCCATCGAGTCTGCTCCACCATTTGATCACTGCTGATAGGTTTCCCAACCACATTCTCCTGCCTTGTCCCTGTAACCCTTGATCCTCTTACCAATCAAAAATTTATCTATCTCTGCTTTTAAAGACACTCAATAACTTGGTCTCCACAGCCTTCTGTGGCAATGAGTTCCACAAAGTCACCACCTTGTGACTGAAGAAATTCCTCCTCATCTCAATTCTAAAGGGTAATCCCTTCATTTTGATGCTGTGCCTCTGGTCCAAGTCTGTTCTACTAATGGAAACATCATCTCCATGTCCATTCTATCTAGGCTTCTCAATATTCTGTAAGTTTCAATGAGATTTCCACCCCCACCCAACCTTCTAAACTCCATCAAATACCCAGAGTCCTCAACTGCTTTCTCACATGACAGGCCCTTCAATCCCAGAATTATTCTTGTAAACCTCCTCTGGATCCCCTCCAATGCCAGCACATCCTTCCTTAGATATGGGGCCCAAAACTGATCACAATATTCTAAATGCAATCTGACCAGCCTCAGCAGTACATCAGGAACAAAAACAAAGTTGCTGGAAAAGCTCAGCAGGTCTGGCAGCATCTGTGAAGGAATAAACAGAGTTAACGTTTCAGGTCCGGTGACGCTTCCTCAGAACAGCAGTACATCCCTGTTCTTGTATTCTACCCCTTTTGAAATGAATGCAAACATTGTATTTACCTTCCTAACTGCCAACTGAACCTGCATGTTACCTTAAGAGAATTCTGAACTAGGATTCCTAAATCCCTTTGTGCTTTGGATTTCTGAAGCCCTTTCCCATCAAGAAAATAGTCCATGCTTCTACTCTTCCCACCAAAGTGTATAACCTCACACTTTCCCACATTGTATTCCATCTGCCACTTCTATGCCCCACTCTCCCAACCTGTCCAAGTCCTTCTGCAGCCTCCCCGCTTCCTCAGCACTATCTGTCTATCCACCTATCTTTGTGTCATCTGTAAGCTAGACAACAAAACCCTTAGTTCCTTTGTCTGAATAACATGAATAATTGTGGACTCAACACTGACCCCTGCAGAATCCACTAGTCAGCAGCTGCCATGGTGAAAAAGGCTCCTTTATCCCCACTCTCTGCCTTCTGCCAGTCAGTCAATCCTCTATCAATGCCAGTACTTTGCCCCTAATATCATGGACTCTTGTCTTATTTAGCAGCCACCTGTGTGGCACATTCTCAAAGGCCTTGTGGAAATCCAAATAGATCACATGCACTAGCTGTCCTTTGTTTACTTTGCTCATGACCTCCTCAAAGAATCCAGATGGATTTGTCAGGCATGACCTCCCTTTGACAAGGCTGTGCTCACTCAGCCCTATTTTATCATGCACATTCAAGTACTCCATAAGCTCATCCCAAACAATGGACTCTAAAATGTTACCAGTGACTGAGGTCAGGCTAACTGGCCTATAGTTTCCTGTCTTCTGCCTCCCAACCTTAAACAGGGATGCCTCCAGTGATTCCTGAAAAATTGCCAACAATGCCTCGTCAATCTCCTCAGCTATCTCCTTCAGAACTCTGGGCATATTCCGTCCAGTCTGTGTGATTTATCTACCTTCAGATCATTCAGCTTTCCCAGCACCTTCTCCTTAGTGATAGCTGCTATACACACCCCTGCTCCCTGACTGTCTTGAAGTTCTGCTACAGGTGTCTTCCACCCTGTAGACTGATGCAAAGTCTCTATTCAGTTCCTCCACCATTTCTTTGTTCCCTGTTGCTACTTATCCAGTCTCTTGTCCAGTAGTTTCCACTTTTGCCTCTCTCTTAAGTTTCATATCTAAAAAAATTCTCGCAAACCTTTTTTATTACTAGCTAGTTTACCTTCATATTTCATCTCCCCACTTTTTTTGCCTTTTTTAGTTGTCTGTTACTGGTTTTTAAAGGCTTCCCTATCCTCTGGTTTTGCACTAATCTCCCCCACATTGTATGCTTTGTCATGCTTTTATGCTGTCCCTGACTTTCCTTGTCAGCCATGGTTGCCTTGCCCTCCCCTTGGTATGTTTCCTCTTCCTTGGGATGAATTTCTGTTGTGTGTCCCAAAATACACAAACTTTTTAGTAACTGGCAGCTATGGGACCAGGAGTGTGCCAGTTGGTCAAATATTCCTGTTGATCAAGAGGTCCACATAATCGATGTAAAAACACACAGCAAGTAATAGAAACATAATGTGGGGATATGCACATTTTGTTATACTTTATTTGCAGCATAAATCACAAATAATAATACAATTTTGCCTTAAAAGCAGGGAACCTTCTCACTCTCATCCTCAACTGACTGTTGGGATTTTGCAGAGATGGTGATAATACAGTAAACTTCTGGTATTTCAGGTATATAATTTTTGGCAGTTTATGGAGAGCCAGTTAAAACAAAGTCTGCAGTACCTCCAGAAATTTGTGCCATTGCTGCTCCCCCTGTCTTTCCTGCAGGCTTCTATTCCAATCAACCCTGGTCGCTCCTGCCTCATAGAATCCCTACAGCATAGAAACAGGCCATTCAGCCCCTCTGAAGAGGATCCCACCCAGATCCATCCCCCTATCATATCCCTGTAATCTGCACATCTTTGGACTGTGCATGGCAACTACAGAGCCTGGAGGAAAGCCACGCAGACATGGGGAAAATGTGTAAACTCCACACAGGCAGCAGTGCTAACCACTGAGTCACCATGCTGCCCTTTGTAGTTACCTTTACTCAGCTGTAATACTGTTGCATCTGATTCCAGCTTCTTCCTTTCAAATTGTAGGGTGAATTCTATCATATTGTGGTCACTAACTCTAAGGATTTCCTTTACCTTAGGCTCCCTAATCAAATCTGCCTCATTACACCTCACCAAATCCAGAATTGCCTGTTCCCTAGAATTACTAATTTAATTTTCCTAAGCCATCTGCAAATTTAAGTTCCACCATGATTATTGTAATAGTTCCTTTCTTACATGCCTTTTCTATGTCCTGAGTTATTTTCTTCCCCACATCCTGACTACTGCTAGAAGGCTTACACATAACTCCCATCAGGGTCTTTTTTCCTTTTGTGTTTCCTCAACTCTACCCACCCAGATTCTATGCCCTCCAACTCATCTTCCCTGTTGCTATCAATTTCATTTCTCACTAAGAAGGCAACCGCACCCCCTTTGCCCATCTGCTTGTCCTTTTGATAGGGTGTGTATCTTTGGATATTTAGTTCCCAGCCCTGATCCCCTAGCAGCCTGGGGCATATCCAAAACGTTTGCAGTGCCTGAGAGCCTGCACTTCCAGATTTTATTCCTTTTTCTCTTTTGTTGTTTCACCTTGGTTTCCTAGGAAACTTCATGTTTAGGCAAAATGGAACTTTGCACACACATGTTCAAATGCATGTAAGATCACTAAAAACCTTAGTAGGTCTTTATGTCTATTTAAATGTGTGTGCAGAGTTTCATTAAGTCATCTTATTGTCAGAGAATCAAGGTAAAATAATTAAAGAGAAAAGAGAATTAAGCCAGAAGTGCAGGATCTCAAATACTGTGGAAGTGTTGGACGTGCCCTAAACTGGCAACATCTGTGAAGAAGAAAACAGTTAACATTTCGGGTCTGGTGACCCTTCCTCAGAACTATAATATGTAGACAAAATTTTCAAAGGTACATAGGATAATATAAATAATTATGCCTTCAGATGTCATGCCTAAAATCCCATACCTGAGCTTTGCTTAAGCTGGATGTTTCAAGATGGTGGATAATTTTGAGAAGTAAATGACTTTAGAATGTAGCAGCAACAAATATAACTCACTGTTTAGCTGCAGTTCTTGAAAACATCAAACCAGAGCCATTCTGCAGGTATAGTCCCAGAATATTATGACCACAATATGATATAAAGGTTACAGTACATTAAATTTTACATTAATTGCAACTGGTCCAGCGGGCTTCTTTTTTCCCTCGCAGGCATTCAATAGTTCTGAAATTTAAATTGAGAAAAATAAAATGTGTCTGATCCAAGATGGCAGACCAACACATGGAATTCATAATAAGAAAATATTTGTCAGAGATTCTTATAAACTCTACCTTCCAATGTACGAGGCATACAATGGATGCAACAGTTTTACAGATAAATAAATCTGATGGTAATTTTCAAATTGTCCAGAAAATTTAAACATGTCTCTGAGCATGACACGATAACCTTTCATAACAATACGGCTTAAAGGAGAGCTTTAACAAGCCTCATTTGTCTTGTTGGACTCCACAGGAGTCTCTCCTAAAGATAGTTGCTTTTTTAAACCATATTTCATTGAGTCTAATCTGCAACTGGGAGGATTTTTTTCTCTAAGATTGAATGGAACGAGTAAAGGTTAGTATGAAGCCTTGCACAGCAGTTTTTGTTTTCAGATTCTCCCTTTTCCTACTACACTTGCGTAAAGTTAAGTTCCTAGAGGGAGTACAGTGAAGGTTTACCAAGCTGATTCCCAGGGTGGCAGGACTGACGTATGAGGAGAGATTGACTAGACTGGGATTGTTTTTGCTGGAGTTCAGATGAATGAGGGGGGATCTCATAAAAAATTATAGAATTCTAACAGGACTAGACAGGATAGATGCAGGGAAGATGTTCCCAATGGTAGGTGTGTCCAGAACTAGGGGTCACAGTATGAGGATTCGGGGTAGACCATTTAGGACGGAGATGAAGA